CAAAATGAACAATTTTATTGGATATATGTCACGTGATCGCACACGGCTTTAGACGACCCAAATATAATACCAAAATTTGAAGTGTAACGATTATCATTTCGTTTCATCCGTTCCTGGTATGTATGTACAGTACGTATATGATACACTACTTGCATAAGTACATTAACTTTTTTAACATTCATTAAGTTTAAAAATCAATTTTTTATTATGAGGAATCTCTGATTTAAAAGGTCTAAATTTTACACGGATATACATCACATATCGTAACAAAGTTAATACTGTATGTACGTACATACGTACGCACGTACGCACGTATGTACATTTCATACGTAATATTATAGTTATAACAAAGTTAGCAATATTATAACAAAATTAGTAACTGCAAATAGTATAACATTTAGTATATGTCAGCTATACTGTCGATTAATTTAAATCTGCAGGGATCAAATAGTTTTAATAATCTAAAATATGATAATTCTAAACAGAAAATGACTGAATATGGGAAGTAGATAATGTAATAAACAAAAAAAAAAACAACCATAAATACATGTCCGATTTTTCTAAAGTTGAATGTTTTGGCTTCGGAATTAGATCGGAAAGGATCTATAGTGATCTTCAGCCCAGGATTTTCTTGACATAAGGAAATCCACTGCATACATACTTTAAAAAATGATGCAGATCCGATCACATAGATCACGAGAATTTTGGCTGTAAAAATTGTTTCTCGGATGAATGCATTATATAATTAATTATTTACTTATTTATTTTTTGCTCCTCTCTTTTATAATAGAAATGTAATGTTAACTACTGAATCAAGTTTATCGTTATAATATATTTACTACATTAAAAATAGGTTGTTCATTTTATATGTTCGTTTCATTTCCCCCCTCTCCCCCCCCTTTTGAGAGTTCTGGAAAGTGATATTAACCGAAAAATTAACTTCGAACGGCCTTATCTCTGAATGATGTCAATGCTATAAATTACTATACCAATTTAAGCTCAACCCTGCTCGTATTTTATGTTTATTCATTTCCTTTTGAAACTCTTCAGACTATGTATCTTTATTCTATCTAAATTTTATATTCAGACTAAATTTTGCACAATAAAATTTTATAATTTCTATTGCACGTCATTTTTTGTGCAATCTTACTTAGGCCACGCAAAGTTGATTTTTCGTTTTGCATTACATGGATTTCAAAATTAGGGACGGACGGACGGATTTTTTTTTTTTTAATTCAATTTACTGCAAATAGAATAATGATCACATTTAAGGTTATATTTGCACAACAAAGAATCAAAAAATTGGGCCGGCAGTCATATTTTTCCTGTCAGTCCTATCGGACAATTACGGGAAATTAAGGTCTCCATCGGGTGATGCTGGATGAAAATAGCGGAAGAAAATAGATGTCAAAAATCGAACAATTGGCATAATTGGGATCTAAAAAAAAAAAAAAATTTTTTTGAAAAATTGAAAAAATGGGACGGCGGGTAATGCAAAACGAAAAATCAACTTTGCGCGGCCTTAAGTTTAATTGTACACTTTGTGCATATACATTTAGAACTTCCCTTGCACAAAAAAAACTACTTGTACTGTACATGTACATCATGTGCAAGATAATTTTAAACACTGTGTAGATTATTCTCCATGAATACTTTATAAATGCATTTTTTTACTAAACAACGCGCATTTCCTGTATTGAATTTAGAAATTTTCTCTTATTTCGAAATTACAAACATGGGTGTATGTGCAGGTGGGCGTTATTTCACTAATACGGTATCAGGCTTTCTCACATGACGATTAGAATTAATGGTCGTATTCAAGGCCTAACTGGTTTGTCCCGGGCATATTCCTGCTTAGCGTCTTTTCACTATGTTGACTTCTCGTCAGCCTGATTTTTATTTTATTTTTAATTTATTTTTTTTAGTTAAATTCATAAATCAATTCGATTTTTTTTTAATTACATCGGGTTGGCATCTTTTCTTTATTTTATTGCTAGAAATTTTCATTTGTGAGTTTGCGCTTCGGATGGGTTAACCATATATCACTATAATTTAAAGTAACGGGTAGTTTTTTTATACAACTACAAAAAAGAAATCTTTCATGAATCTCGATTCGTATTTCGGATCGAATCCGAATCTTTAGAAATATTAACTAGATTCGCTACCCGCACTCTACACACAAAGTTGATTTTCATTTTGCATTACATGGATTTCGGTCGATCAGTTATTAATCTATAGTAAATTAATAGACTCATGTTCATATTTCAACATTTAAGGCCACGCAAAGTTAATTTTTCGCTTTGCATAACATGGAATCAGAAAATTGGGTTGTCAGTCGAATTTTTTATCAGTTTTACCGGATAATTACGGAAAATAAGGTCTCTATTGGGTGATGCCAAATTAATTTATGGGGAAAAAATTAAATGTCAAAAATAGAATAATAAACATAATAATTGGAATTTTTGAAAAATTGAAAAATGGGTCAGCGTGTAATGCAAAACGAAAAATCAACTTTACGTAGCCTAATAAGAATCGAAGTGGAACAGGTAACGTTATCGTTATTGAGAATTTTAATTTCCATGATTAAACCTGTAATGATGTATAATAAATAATAGGAAGTTCGTGTATGATCAGTATATAAACATTCGGCATGTATATAACTCAATACGTCAGGCAAGCGCAATACAATATGACAATCAGATAAAACAGCAAGAGGTACGTTATAATTACAAGAAGTCACTCAAGAATCTTTATTATAAAGGAGAACCACACAAAAAACCCAAAGGACAAGCAAGGCTACTTATATACACATGAGAAATCCACAGCTATTATTGAACGCGTAGTATGGATCCTAATTAAAGATTTGGTGAACTATACCAATACAATATCTTTAAGGTCCTTGATAAAAGCTTCTACATGAACACGCAGGTGTTTATCCATCATAATAACGTCACGCGATATCCTTTAACCCGTTGTCGTGATCAGTGTGATGGTTCCCAGGAATCCGTAGCGCCGGGTGATTAGGATCGAGATCATGTAACGTGATTTGCATAAATTAATTAGTAATAAGTAATAGTCTAATGTGTAATACAAAAGCAACGATTCTCTAATAGAGATCTTGCAAGAAGAACATTAATAAAACTTTGAATATTCATAATAAAGAATCGCTCTAATAAATATACACTATGTGGTCGTAGTCTCTTACGGTAGAGTACCTGAACGATACTCCAGTCCAGTAATATAGTCTAGCGAGTGATTCTACGTATACAAACCTGTGTAGAACCCATAGTCCGTATAAACTATTACACCAGTAGAGAGGCTCGATGCCAATTTATCTACTGCCACAATTATTTAGGTATTCAATACTAATGAAAAATAGGTGGAAAAGCAATTTATTAAATTTATTATGTGAGCAATAATCCTGCTGTTATACTCAAACCACCTCTTTTGAAGTTTGGGGTAACGGGGAGGATAGTAATTAAATGTTTCGTATTCGTATATAATATATTGAATATCTAAAACTTTATATGTTTAAGAGGATTTTGTGATTTGCTTTTATGAAAGAAGTCACGACTAAGTGTATATAAATATACAAAAGTCGCATATGATGATCCATGTGAAATTAAATGTCTGATCGAGAAATCTCTTCCCGTGAACAAGACCGTTAAATCGTTTAATGATTGAATTATGTGTTTACTCGTGTATGAAGACACGAATATCAGATATTTATTTAAGTAATTAGTATGGAATTATCTATTCCAGAGGGATATCGGGTTATTTATATATGTTCTTGAATAAGATAAATGACTATTATAGCTATCAACGATATTATATCTACCCTATCTAATAAAAAATACATGATATAATATAATTGATACATATAACAGAGTTAATAAATATAATAATGATAAAGTATAAAATATTCCTTTAAAACATAATAGAGTTATTAGAATTAGTGGCATTAATAGCATGGTGCAACGTGAAATAGTCACATGATTTAATGGTACGTGGCCTTTTCAGAGTCTTGGATGATCTTTCGAGTTTAATACTGCCTTTCTCTATACAATCCTTTATATATTTTTAACACAAATTATGAAGTAATGGGAAAGAACATTAAGGAGAAATGAAGTAATGGAAATTACTACGCAAAAGAATATAGTAATAATTACTTGAAAATATGTAATAATCTGACAAAGAAAATGTAATCATGATTTGCAAAATGTAATACTAATAATAGAATGCGATGCCTAAAGAAATATAGCGATAGTGAATGTCTATCAATTCTTAAAATGGTACTAGCGCAATCATCTGGCTAAAGATAAATGATAATACTACTGTACATTCGTAATAATAACGAATAATAAAGAAAACGGTAATAATAACAATAAATAAAGTAAAATACATATAGTGCACAGAAATGTTACGAAGATAACACTGTTAATGTGGTGTCATTAATCAAATAAATCGTAAAATGCATTTGATTAATGCACCTCATATTTAAACATGGCATAATTTTTTTATTATTTTTGTCTAATGCTAAAATTTTGAGAATCCAAAAATCACCTTGAATCTTCTAATTTCCCGTGATTTTACATGACATCATGATCTGCAAACCAGTATAATATATGATGACATATTATATGGGGTGCTTAAATAAATGCCATTATGTCTAAAGAATCAGTACAATTGCATAATTGTAATCGCCCGGTTTTGTTAAAAAAGTCTAATTTCGAGAATAATATAACTATTATTTAGTATTGTGAGCTTTGTATATAATGTTAATAACTATAATATAAGAATATAAAATTTCTTAAAAAATTTTTTCAAATGATACAATCAATATGATAATTTATTTGATAAAATAAAAAAAAAATAAAAAAACGTTTATTAAGTTTTTCTTTTCTTCTTTCACCCTAATTATTCTTTTCTCTCTCTTCCATTTCCTGAACTTATAAATATTGCCTTCTTGAAGTGTAATCGGAAACAGCAAAAAAAAACAAATGCTTCTGAAAGAAAATCTTTTCGGTGATCGTTACATTAACAGAATTGCTTTATATGTATGTATTTTTTTTTTTTTTATTAATAAATTAAAAATACGTATATTTATTTAATTTGATTTAGGAAAATGAAAATGAAGAACTGAAAAGAGATAACCAGATTCTAATAAATGAGAATGAACGTCTGAAGAATGAAAATGAACATTTGGGGGAAAAGAATCGGCGAATAATTAGCGAAAATGAAAAAATAAAAGGAGAGAAGCAGAGCCTAATAAATGTGAATGAACACCTGATGGATGAGAATAAAAATTTGAAGCAGCAAATGATTGATAATAGAAAAAGGGGGAGTGCAAAAATTATTGAGAAAATTAAATCCCTATCTAAACATAATAATAAACAAACGATGATAATGAATTTGTAGATACACACCAAACATTTCTACTCTCTATTTTTTGCTTAAATAGTTGATTGGAATCAATGAGCTTTGATTATTGTTTGGTCGCAAACTCTAGAATTTTAGCATCGATGAAAAATTTCAATGTTCATTGAGCTTCTTTTTTTTATCAAAATAAAAAAAATATTTGGCATAAATTAAATTTATCAACTATACTATTTAATATATACTTGTATAACCTTTTCGATTTATTGGTTTACATTTATAAGAACAACCATGTACTGTATTAACCCTAAATATCAGGAATATTAAGGTTAAACTTCTTCATATTATATTCACTCTACCAAGTTAAATTTGGATTTAATAATGCTCTCTTCACACTTATAGCATATCCTGTATCTGAGGATAAGTATTCACTTGGTATATCGTTTATCAATTAAAATCGGAAATTAATTCATATCTTTCCCAATATTCTATTTGTTTTGTTTCTCATCTTACTATGGAAATACATCTGGGTGTTTTCTCCTGCTAATCGAGCAACTTACGCAGTTTTATAGTATCGTGTAACTTTCTTTTTTTTTCTTTTTCTTTTATGACTGTCGTCCCGACAGGCCATAATATGCATTAGAATTTGTATAAATGACTGACGTCTCGACAGGCCAAGTCCTTAAATCAAACACATTAGTCACACATCAAACTTAATGACCGTTGTCCGACAGGCCATTTCTGAAAAACTCTACTAGGTGGGGAGGGTCGATGTAACCAGAACGAATGTCGGGTTCGCAGAAGAAACAAGATTATTTCCTAATCGATTACTAATATACCTGTGCATTAATTAATTGCCTCATACTTACTCAACTAATTAAACTTTCCCATTGCCTCATTTCATACGTATCTTATAAGAATTATCTCATACTTACTTAACATCACTGGTCGATCACTTGTTCGATCATTAGGCAAGCATGATCGGACATGTCACATGTTTGGCTCGTGATGATTTGAGACAAAAGCTGCCTCGATACTTACGTATCGAGCAGCTTTTTCTTCATGTAAATCATAGTTGCTAAATGATGCAAAATAACTAGTGTAAATAATGATTTTGGATAATTTGGTGGAATAATTTTAAAAGTATTTAATGAGGCTTTTTCAATGTAAAAAATTTTCTTTTTATTGTTAAAAGGGATCATTAGTTTCTATATAAAATTGATATTATAATTATTTCAGATAGTACGAAAGTAAGTGATTAGATCAGAAGTTATTAAAATATGATTAAAAGGCTTATATAACAAAAGGAATTTGAAATGTGTACCATTTCCTTTTTTGACTGATCAGTTCTCTCGAAAATCCACGCAAGAATAATTACGAATTACTGTCAAGAAAAGTATGTGCACAAGCAGAAGCTTGTCTAGGAATTTATTGTATGGTTTACAGGCAACTGACAGTGCACAAAATTTTGCATACTATTTAAATGCACTTAAGTACGTATGTACGTATTTGCTTCTACCAGGTTTTATACAAATCCTTATGCGAACTAAATTATGGCTGTGTAATCAATATAAGAGTAAAAAAGGTATATATTATTTATTGCGAGTACCAAGCTTGTTATTTTTATGAACTAGAACCAATCAAATACAATAGTACAAATTTATAAATAAAATAATCAAGTAAAAATTTCTCCCATATAATTCAAAATTCAATTATTCAAAGTACCTGATCGAGTTATTTCATAAATTTGCGTGACAGCGTCGTGCAGCTACATTATGATGTAAAATAGCAAGCAAATCTAACCCAAACCGTTTGATTGGTCAAATTAGGTTTGACCAATCAAATTTCAAGATCAGATGTAATGTAAAAAAATCAGAACGAAATACTTTTTTTGGGTGCATTACCTAATATCTATTAATTATAATAATCTTTAAAAGGATTGCAATTGCAGACCTTTGAATAAGTCCTTAGCAACAACCTATTCAATGTTAATAGTTCAGGTCTTACAAATATTTAAGCTTCGAAAATGCACTAGATGATAAAAAATTTTCTGATTATTTTGGCCGATTCATTAAAAGGTACTAATTCTGGCATGATTACGCTAGTGTTTCGCTAAAATTTTTCACGGTATATAGAACAGGAGGAAACGTTGATGTTACACAACTGATTTTACACACGGTATGAAACACATAAAAAAATGATTTTTCAATACTTGATCAAGTCCGATCAAGTATTGTAAAATCATTTTTTATGTGTTTCACACCGTGTGTAAATCAGTTGTGTAACATCAACGTTTCCTCCTGTTGGTATATAGTCATAGGCAGACATTCGTATGATTGGCTGTTTAAATCAAATTAATTTTGCATTATTTATACAGTTTAAAGAACTTTTTAAAAAAAGGCATTTAGAAAGTTTTATTAGGGTTGTAGGCCACTATTAAAAATAGTCAAAATTCTTTTTTGTTTTAGAGAAGTTAGCATAATAACCACTTCTTAAAATTAGGTTATCACCGTGCTAACTTCTCTAAGACAAAAAGAATTTTGATTATTTTTAATCTACAACACTAATAAAGCTTTCTATATACTTCTTTTTTGTTTATTTGTAGTAGTTTTCTTTTTTAAAAAAAGTAATCATACGAATGTCTGCCTATGAGGTATATAGTTTTATTTATCGTTATAATACCGGTACATAGATGTATATCAATATGCAATATGTAGATCAATAAGTAGCTGCATTGTCGCGCTAAACCAGGAACGGAGCTTAATTTAGAAAATGTTGGACAACCCCAATAAAGAATAGTTATATTTGAATTCAGCAAAATAAATATCGGGTATATAACTAAATACAGCATAACTATATTGATATGAGACACTATGATTTAAACAAACAAGAAATGTTTAGATGTATAGAATGTGAAAATACCTCTTTAAAAAGCATAGCATACTAATCCAATAATGCTAACCCTAATAATACATAATGCCGGAGTATTAAAAATAGGGGTATTTCGCATCCCACACCGCACATATTTGGTCATACCAATTAGAAATGTTCTTGGCAGATGATAATTATACAGACTAATGTGGATAAGAAGCTAAATGAGAGGTAAACAGCTCATATTAAATACTTGGATCAATTAAACCAATAAATATTCACTTAACTTAGAGGCTAAAGGTGCTCTCAATGTGATTAGCTATTACCGAGATCGTGCATAAAGTACTACGATTAATTGAAGCGATCCTTGTTTTAATTTTGCTAAAGATTCATATCACAACATGCGGATAATGAATTTTAGCCTATCAGAACAAGTCTATAACAAAAAAAGCGGTTTAGCTTTATTTTCATCGAGATAATGAACTACTTACCGGTTAAATTACTTTCCACAAATTAGAAATTGGGTTTCGACCTATTAATTATGTGCTTGAAAGAATTTAAATCAATATGAATAAAATTTAAGCGAGAAATTAATTAATATATTGATTGATAATGTTCAAATGATTAAATAAGAAAAAATATTATGTGAAAATCTGACATTATATGACGAAGAGTTTTATAGACCAATTTCAGCTTATTAAAATTTTTTAGATCTGTTAATGCTTGTATGGCTTTTTTAAATACTATATTGCTTTAAAATCATTGTTACTGTATCGGTACAGAATTGTCTACCACAGCTTGAGCCAAGGCTCAATTCATGCTCTAGTTATGACACAAGTTATGACTTCAAAAACTAAGAAGCTATGACTTTAAAAAGCTGATTCAATTGCAGCTAAAACCGGCTTCGGATAATCCATTAGCAGCTTGAAGACAGTTTACAACAGATCCATATTTGGTTAGTTCAATTACTAACGCTAAGGATAATAATAAAAAAAAGTAAATGATCGTCATTCACTTTAATTGAGACAAAAACCTGTTAAAGCAATAAAAAATACAATTGAACGTTCGTTATGGTTAACGTTAAACAAATCTCATACTATAGCAGTTTAAGTGTAGAATATCACGTTTCATTGCATTTAATGATTGTCCAGTCAATATGAGATTTTACATACATCACTAAAAATGGCCATAAACATACACTTCGTAATATTATATCACTCCGTTCCTGGTATATATGCAACATTCTCATGCAAAACCAGGTGGAGCTGCAAGGTGAAACCAGTTTCGCCATAGTTTCAACCTAAAAGTCTCGTTTGATGCTATTTGATTTCATCAATCTCATCAGCAACTACTAGCACTATATTTTCACTATATTTACATATATACAGTAAGTTGAATATTAATTACTATTCCAAATTTACAATGTCGGGTGATTTATGTTATTGAAATAATTCCCACATTTCTAATTAAATCACATAATAAGATAGAACCAGTAAAAAGATTTGCCGTAAGATTTGTTTTCGAAGCAATCTGATTATGTTACATCTTATTTTTTTTTATAAAATTCTGACCGATAATTTATTCGTAGGGGTTTCCAGGAATAAAACTGTAATATCGTTTGAAAAACTAGGAATGGATTTCGTCTGATTGTCTTAAATATTATGACCTGGCATCATCGCGCCCAGTTCTCATAAACACAACTACAAAAATTCGTTTAGCTCTGTCGCTTATACAACCGATTTTCTTAGCAATTAATCGTTGATAGACCAATTTCTTAGCAATTTTTTGTTGGTTTTTTTTGCTTATACTGTTCTTAAGCGTCTCTCATTTGGTATTTCAAATTGAAAAAGTCTTGGGCTACGTTTACGTTTTTCATAAATTTACAGCAAAATTGTTATTAGGATCACTCCAATCAATTGTACGCTCTGATGCTGAAACGTTATAAACACTGACCTTACAAAGATTAGCATGCTTATTGTTATATTTGACCGTTCAGCAAATTCCTTCTTTATTTTCTTTAACAATATGTGATTACGTGGTGATGACCAACACCCCTGTATTTTGATTGTTAGGGTTAGGTATGATCACGGGTTACCCTGCGTGCCCTTATTTCCCACCGTGATACAAACCAAAAAAGGAAATTTTTGTATGTAGATCATAAGATCATGAAATGTCGTTGGTATTTTTCAAAAAATCGCTAATAACTCAAAATTTTGTTCAAAAAACCGCCTCTTGTGTTCTAACAAAAAAATTCCTTGAAAAATTTTAGTTTAGAATCTATTCTTCCTAAATTAAAGTTAAAGCAAATTTACTGCAAATAGAATATTTATAATTACATGTGATTTGTATCACAGTGAGAAATAAACCCGGATTTGCATAAGTGGCGTGATCGTTGATTTATATGAATTTAATTTAAAGTTGTGTTGCATAATGCGTGCAACCGGGTAATATACTACCCGGATTGAAAATCCTTGTTGCGGCAGCTATGGTTAATTAATCAAATTAAGTTGGTATTAAATTAATCACGATTTCTGTTTATTGTAAAAATTTCTGTAACAAAACTTACTCGTTAATACAATAAACACAACACACTGGTTAAGATTGAGTTGGTTTGTATTGAAATTATCATAATTTTTACTATGACTTACTGTAAAAAATTCTATCACTAACCTTGTTATTCCAGTGACCGCAGTATGTGGTTAAAGTTAATATCATCATTTTTAGTGTTATTGTAAAAAATTCTTTTGCAAAAACTTGCTATTTCAGTAACAACAAAGTTGATATTGAATAATTTGTATTGGAAATTTCATGATGTGTAGTGTAAAAAATTCTATTACTCCTAACTTATTTCCATCCTCTTATTATTTTCAATATAATTTTCTTGACTCTTTATCTCACTGGTATACTTGTTCTTGCATTAATTTTCTAACCCAAATCATCTATTCATCTATTTCTGATACTATCCTTAATTTTAATCTTAACCTTCTATCTTAGGAGCTTAACTATTAATACATACAATTTTATCTTATTCTTCATTCTCTCTTCTCTATTTTATCTCTATTCTCTCCATTCTACTCTTAGCATTCTTATCCCTTCTCTTCTTATTCAATTTATACTACTATTTGACTTATCATACTCAATTGCCTCTCAACCAATTATTCAAATCTTAATTAAAATCCTTAACTAACTCTATAAAGCTTATTGTATTAACTTCTCTACTTGGAAAAAGCACATCAAATATCCTCAAATTCTACTTTTTCTCAATCTAATCAGAAATCTCCTCTTTATTTTCATTTATAACTCATAATATATTTATATATAATTGCCTATACAACTTACTAGGTCAACTGCTTTTTAACTAAAATTTTTGCTCACTTGCAGGCTTGATAACTATAAATTTGACACCTGGCTACTATGTGAATCTAGTTTAGTACTCAAACAATTATATTTTATCTATTCAAATCTAGGTAAGTCTTAACTACTCTAGTAGGTTTAGGTTACAAATAAATAACTAGTCTGAACTTTTATATTTATTTATTTGTATATTAATTGATTTGCTATTTAGTTTCTTTCTATATAACTACTTATATCCATTATATTGATAGTCTGTTATATTGAAAGTAACATATATTAAAAAAAAATTTGTATTATAATTATATTTTGTATACAGTTAACTTTTTATAGAAAATTTATTATTATATTAAAATTTTTTTTTTTTGGTATTAAGGTGAGGCCTTGCTAATATTTTTATTAAGTAATTTACATTCTTAATACAGAAAATTTTAATAAACCAAAATTATTACTAATAAAACTATTTTGATATACCAGAAATTATTAGTAACCTTGTAATATAATTTATAATAGATTTTGATTTAAAACCACCATATGCCAATATAATAAAAAATCTCTTGACAAAGTGAATTTTATTATTTGTAGAAATATATTTATATAATTGGTTAATTTTTATAGATCTATTCATGACTTCTCATAAATCAAAATATATAATAATTAATAGATAAGATTTTACTATACTACTAGTAGTATATTGTAACAATTTTTAAAAGTAAATTTCTATGGTGCAGTATATCTAGTCACATCATAGTGCTAAATTTTGAAATATATATATAAATATATATAGCAGCACTGAAATTTTAATAATTAGCACTGAATTTTAAAATTTAGTGCTTAATTTTTTAAAATTTATATAATGTTTAATATTGCTGAAATTTTTAAAAGAGATTAAATAAAAAAAAAATTAAAGTTTGAAAAAATTTTATATATTAATTAATCTATTATAAAGTATTTTATAATATAAGTGCTAAATTTTTTATATTTACTAATAAAATAAAGTGCTAAATTTTTTAAATTATTAATAAATTAAAGAAATTTTGAACCAAAATAACTTTTTAAGAAAAGAATTTTTTTAAAAAAACTCTCTATACCGATATTCTTTGAGTTTTAAATAACATTATTATGGAAAGTTTTTTTTTAATTGCTTATTTTTTTAAAAAGTTATTAAACTTTTATTGCAAGCAAATATTTTGTGATATGGCTAGATGTTCTGCATTATAGTAATTTTAAAAATTAATTTTGTTTTAAATAATTTTATATAGTTTGTTAGTATTTGACTATACAGAAAAATTTTGGTAAATTTAAATAGCATTTCTGATTTTTTAAAATATTTTTTTTTGACCTGAATACTTTAGTTTAATCTAATTTTATATTGTACTTACTAGTAATCTTATAGAATATTTTTAATTATAAAAAGTTTTTAGGCTATATAAACTTAATTTTTTGGTTCTTATAACCCAGCTGGAACATATTTTAAATTTTTTTTTAAAAAAATTTTTTTATATGGTTTAATATTTCAAAAAAAATTTTTAAAAAATTTTATAAAATTTAAAATTTTTATATATATAAAATTTTTTAAATAAAGTCCAGATAGATGAGTTATTACTTTATTTAATACTATAATCTGGATTATTATTTTTAAAATTAAAATTTAAATTTTATATTTTAAAAAATTTTAAAAATTTTTAAATAAAGTCTTGCCTGTCAGGTCTTTTTTTTTTATGTTATGAAAATGAAAAAATTAATTTTATATGACCTTATTAATAAATTTATTTAAAAATTTTAAGAGAATTGTTAAGAAAAGTTTATAATTTTAATTATAAAAATTTCTTTAATATTAAACTAATATATAAAAAATAATTTAACTTTAACATTTTTACTAATAGATATTAAATAAAGATTATTTTAAATTTTATATTAAAAAATAGATATAGGCAAGTACAAAAATGTAGATACACCAATACGGTAATTATAAAAAATTTTTTTAAAAGGTTAATACAAGTATTTAAAATTTTAATTTATTACTTTGGTTTTTAAGTTTATTTTAATATAATTTTTATTAAAATTTTAAATTGAAAAAAAAATTTATTAAAAGATAATTTTCTTAATTTTGAGGTCCTTATTATCACTTTTAACCAAAGCCATGTGTTTATCATATTTTTTATATTCTTTTGCCCTAGTAAGTGATTTTCTCCAAAGATTTGTGATAATTTTTGTGCTGATCTTTTCAGTAAATGCTTCAAGCAGTTTATTTCGAATAGAAAGCAGATTTGGATACAAACTAATTTTAGCAACTTCTTGTTTTGCAACTGCCTAAATTTCTTCTATTAGTTAAAGCTTGCAGTGATATGGCAGAGTATAAGACAAATTGCGTCCATGTTTATTAGCAATTTGAACACATGTGAATGACACTTTGTATTTATTCCTTTTTACTAACTCATATAGCTTAGCTTTGGTACAACTCTCTGATATAATAATATCATATAACACCAACTATATATGAAGTATTTTTTTGTTTGAATTTGATATTGGCACTTGTTCAGCCCGATGTTTATGATAGCGAGCCCCATCCATATAGATATGTACTGGCCCATATTAGTTTTTAATAACTGTACAAAGTTTTTTAAAAAGATTTTCAAAAATTTCAGAGTTAAAATTGCCGTGATAATCATTTTGATCTGCTACAATATTTGCATTATGAATTGTATTGGGAATATTTTTCTATTCATCTGCATTGAGCCTTTTTCTTCCATGTGAAGAAGGAGGTTTAATAGATGAATCCCATATTAAAGGAGAGTTAGAAACAATTTCACCTTCAAGTTTATTTGTATTACCATTGTGCATTACAATACTTGCACTAAATATAATTAACAAAGGGCTATATCCTGGTGTACAAACAATTCTGTGAGTTGGTACCCACGTATAATTAGTTGTGTGGTTTAAGTGGCATTACAATTTATCTAAAAATACTTCTGGTTTAACTAGGACACTATTATTACTATGCAAATTACTAAAATGCCATCTCAAATAATAGCCATGAAAAGCTACATTTTCAGATGACTTATGCAACATATTATGACATTCATCATGTCTGTAAAAATACCCTAAAACATGTAAAATTCATAGTAACTACTATTTTGAAAACTTATGACCTTCTTCTTCAAGCTTCTGCCACAATACAGATGTAGAGAGACTAGCAAAGTTCACAGATATAACCAAGTTGCATACAACTTCAGCAACATTTGGTTTAAGCTCCTTTTTGGGGGTGGCCAGGTAGTCTAGGTGCTGTTAATTGTTTAGTTTTACTTTTATTTCCTTCAGTAACTACTTGTACAATTATAGCCTCACCAATTTCTAGAACTGTAGCAACAAGCTTGTGTAGTAGTATGTGCTCTTGTTGTTTCTAGCTTG